TGGTTGGGATTAGGGCCCGGGCGGGTCTCGTGCGTAGTCACCTCCTCGTGGTGAGACCTGGTAATTGATATCTTTTTACAAACTTTAATATTTGTAAAACGATATCAAGCTAAGAACTACGCAACCTACAGTTCAGTTTAGATTGTGAATATTTCTTTCCATTCTTTATTTCGGTCTAAACTGAACTGTAGGGACAATTAGTTGATAAGTAAATTATTGGGCCCCCAGCGGGCCACCGATGGAGGACGAGGGACATGGCAGGGACATCGTGGGATGCGTGCGTCGTAGCTTTAAGTTGCGTGCGTTTAGTTTTAGTTAATTATAAGATCGTCAATATCTGGAACAACGAGGGATCTCGCAGGGACATCGTGGGATGCGTGCGTCTTAGCTTTAAGTTGCGTGCGTTTAGTTTTAGTTAATTATAAAATCGTCAATATCTGGGACAACGATGGATCTCGCAGGGACATCGTGGGATGCGTGCGTTTAGTTTTAGTGAATTAGATGATAGTTATTATTTGTAAATTTACTATGAACGCATTCTGTACAAGGACACGTTTATATAACTTGAAACGAAATCAGGGATTCCTTCTCTCCGCTCTTTTTTTGTTCGCTGTTACTATTGTTACTGTTATTGCATTAGAGTAGATTTTCCAACTTTCATTGTCAGTGTGTCAAGTCGGGAACTGCAGCCTTGTTGGAAAGGACTAGGTAGGTTCTTGTACTCTAGCGTCCCATGTAATTCGGTTCCAGTAATAGAGGATGAAGTGATCCTGTCCGAACAGGCACAACAATTAAGACGAGCATAAACATTGTCTTTGTGTTGTTGTTTTTTACTTCGAATTTCGAGCTACGTTTTACTTTATTTGAGAACTGAACAATTTCATATATTAAAATTAAAACAGTAAAATTATTTTAACTATTAAATACGTAGATTCTTAATAAATTGTTGTTGAATTTAGTATTATAATTGTTAAGAATTACACAGTATAAAGTTAAGGAATCAACAAATAAGTAAAAAATGTTATAATAGAAGTGTATGAATAAAAGCATATAACAAAATACATACATATATATGTATATATAACAATGACTTAGCCAAGGTTATAATATCACTGGTTGGAATCGAAATTAAATTTTGTTATAAAATTATAAATGACTTTTAACATAGTATGTTCCATTTAAATGTTTATGTGATATTATTTCTTTAATTGTTGAAAATTATATGTAATGACTATTTGGTTATCTTACCTCGAGTTGATGCAAAAAATACATGTTTCATCTTAAAGATACAAAACACAAACACAAGTCTAACTATTGATGTAAATTTTTACCTGAGAACTTCCGAATGGTACGTCTTTCTGAATAATTCTTCTGAATAACACTTTCTTTTTTACAGACGAGGTGTGTTTCCTTTCCATGTTCCCGCTTTAAAATCGATCGTGAGAAATATCGATATGCTCAAGAATCGTAGGATGTGTGTTGCATATTTCACCGTTGGGGCGCTGTAATCGCACGTTTTGCAAGAAATACTGAGAATAAAAAATAAAAAACTCTGGTCTAAATCAAATACACAAAATTCATGAGTCGTAAAAAATAACGAAAATATTCATACATTAGATAAAAAATTGTCAATACTTTAAACTATTAATAATTTCGTGAAAAAAAATTGCAGAACAATTAACTTGATTTTATTTTAAAAAATGAAATCTCCACTTTAACAATCCTGAATTTATTTCGATTAAAGATATTTATTTTTACATCATGCAGCAAATGTAAAAATAAAAATACTTTTTTTCTCGAAAATGTAAAAATTCGAACATCTCGTCGAAAAAAAGTTTTCCCATCTCTGAACAACTGTTTTATGATCAAATTAATCATGATCTTATATTGAAATCTACTCTTTAAATTGAGCCCTTAAAACCTGTACGATTTCGCCATTTTACTGAGCATTAAACAGTAATTCATTAATTGTTAACAAATATAACAACAGATGAAAATAATTTACACGATACGATATAACTTTATTTATGGAAATATATACCAAACAATATTTGTGGAAACATTTTTTTGGTATTTCCAAGCTTTTATATAGTCGACTTTATAAGATTGACTCAAACTCTGAAGTTACACACTAAAATAAGTAAAAAACATTATATTTAATTCATATCTAATTATGTTGTTAAAATATATATTTCAATCAATTTTTTAATACCTTTAAATAGATATACATAATCAAATATATAATGAATTTTTCATCTCAATTTCCATCAATCACTGTTTTAAATTATTATATTCCTTTATTGATGAAGTATCACCACGTTCAATTCAATAAATAACTCTCGAAACAGATGTGACAACACTGTCCATATTTTTTAGTTTTAATTCTCATCACTAGTGCTACAGTGCAAAATTTGCCTGAATCGGTACGACAGGATGTGACACGAAAATGATAAAAGAGTCCTGAGACCGCCCTAATCGTGGGTTGAAAAAATAGATTGCATGCGAAGTCTATGTACTAGCACAGACGAGATATATGAATCTCATCTGTGGTGCTAGTAATCTGTTTCCTTGTCGATATTACAGACTTTGAGACACGAAATGCCATTTAATGTCCAGTCTGTTTTATCGTTAGTTCATGGTGCTACTACATATGTATATTGAATCAATAATGTCGCATGTGACACAAAAATGACAAGGAACAAAAAAAAAAGCATTAAATATATTGCCGTCTGTTTTAGCGTGTTCAATAATTGAATTGAACATAATTCCTACAAAAATCGTAATAAATCTCAAATGAATAAAAGACATAATCTCCAAACCGTGGGACATAAAGAAGCGTTGAATGTCATGTCTATTCTATCCTTAGTCAATGCTTTTACGTATCTACGGCGTCTTCGTAAGTTAATTACGAATATTGACATTTCGAAGAAGTTGTTGCACGTTTTTGGTTCTTATAAAACATATTGTATTTGTAATCACTTTGTGTTATATGTACAATATATGTGAAATTGAGACGTTATGTTAGGTAAATTTAAAAAAATATTTGTCTATGTATTATTTTAGTTATTTACACTTGTATGGAATAGTAAATGACATTATGATATAAATATTGTAGGGTTTCTCCAATCGCAATATTCAAACGAAATATCAGTGAAAAAAGTAGTGTAAATTGTTTCCAGAACAATATAATTAAACATGTCAACTCTAGAAGATAAGATTTTAGGCGAAAAATTACACTATTACTGTAGTAGTTCTAGTGAAGATGAAAATGATTCTACAAATTCTGATAAAGAAACAGAAAATGAGAAATATCCGCAAATCATTACAGATTCCATAGAACCATCATTTTCAGAATGGGATGGCACTTCCAGTAATACAGGACCTAAGGGTGTTATAAAAGTAAAATTGCAATTGTTAGTGAAAATTTGTACTAATTATGATATATATTTTAATCTGTTATAATCATATTTCAAGGATTGGCAACGGTACAAACAACTGCAAGTAGAAAAGAGAAAGGAACAAGAAAAAGAAAGGCTTCAGTTAATAAAGAAACTGAGTCTAACATGCCGCAGTTCTTTAGATGAGGAAAAAGAGAAAATTATGCAAAGTGATCCTGATCTTGCTGAATTACTAACTGATGAATTTCTTTTAGAGTATCAGAAACAAAGGATGAAAGAAATGCTTACAAGAACTGAGAAACTTCATTTTGGTAGAGTAATTAATTTGGAAACAGCAGATCAATTTTTAGAAGCAATTGACAATGAAGATAAATCAGTGACAATCGTTGTTCATATTTATGAACCTAATGTCCCTGGCTGTGAAGCTATGAATGGTTCTTTAATATCTGTTGCAGAAGATTATCCTTTTGTAAAATTTTGTAAAATTTTAGGTTTGTACTAGGTTTGTACACTTTACTTTTATATCATTTATACTATGATATATAACATTGCTTTTATTACAGGTTCAGTAGCTGGACTCAGTAAACATTTTAAGAAAGAAGGAGTTCCAGCTCTATTAGTTTATAAAGCTGCTCAAGTAATAGGAAATTTTGTTCACGTAACAGATTATTTAGGAGTAGACTTTTATGCTTCTGATGTTGAAGCCTTTTTAATTGAACAAGGGATGCTTATTGATAAAAACTGTATACCTGTTATCACTTCACATAATGAACATGCGTTATCTGACAGTGAATAAATGAAAGAAACAAATATTTCTCATAATTTTGAATATATTCTTCCTAATATAATTTTAAAAATTTAATGATTATCATTTATTTTTTCTTAAACAACATAAATTAAAGAATTATATTAGATATTAACAGGAAAATGTCTGAAAATAATACTTTTTATATAGAAACAAATTTATATATATATATATATATATATATATATATATATATATATATATATATATATATATATATATATATATATATATATATATATATATATATATATATATATATATATATATATATATATATAAATGCATATAAGCAGTACAAATATTTATATTTATTTTAATACAAAATATAAATTTATATGTAAATGCATCAAGAATTAATTTATTTTTGGACAAGTAATTCAAAGTTTTTCCAATATTTGTTTTTTTTTCTCAATAGCTTTGCAAAAATGTAGATAAGTTTTTAGGACTTCACTATATTCTGTATTTTGTAACTCTTCATATTGCTTTTTCAAGTTTTTCTTTTCTTTAATTTCATCCAAAGTTGCAAATAATTTTTTATCTAAGGTTGTATTCAATATTCTGTATGCATCAATTGTTACTGGGGTTTCCTTATACATTTTTATAATACATGATAACTTTGTAATCTTTGCTTGTACTTCTGCAACTTGTGCTTGCAATAATATGTGTTCTGCTTTCTCTAAGTAAATTTTACTTACGTCCTTATATTTTAAAATATTCCATTTATTCATTAAAGTCTTGCATTTCATAATATCTGCTTCATATTGACTACACAATTCTTCAATTTTATCTTTCCATTGGAATATTTGTATTTCATCAGACTCAAGTATCTTTTTACGCATATTGAAATCAATCAATCTTAGAATTTCCTTCATATTTCCTCCCAATTGTTCATACCTGAAATGTAACAACTATTTTATTCTTTTTTCTCACATCTTCAAACCTTAATCAAACCTTAATATCAATTCATGTATTTTTTCTCGTAGCAATGTTTCCACATAACATTTAATGTCTGATATTTCTTCATAACTAAAATCATATTTTGGTAAATCTGTAATTCCCAAAATATTTAATTCTTCTTGCATATTTTTTGATGTAGATGGCAAATGCATGTATATATTAAGTTCATGGATCAAAAGTAATCTTTTCAATTTGACAACAACATCATCAGACAATGTTCCTTTTACATTTATTAATGTCTCTTTTATACATTCCAAAATTAATTTATTTTTTACATGTTCTGCTATACTATCTTCGCATGAAGCAAGACACTTTATTGTTTTCTCTAAATGGTTAGATTCCTGAATATTTTTGCTTGTATTATAACTCAAATTACATTGTTGTTCAAATAAATTTTGCAATGAATCTACTCTACCAAATATTCGACTGCAATTTAAACGAGAAATTCGGGAAATATCTGAAAATAAATAAAATTTATTTTGCTACATTATAAATTTTATATTTTTATATTATATTTAATTTTAAACATTCTCACTTTGAGAATTTACATACCCAAAATTTGACTTAAATCGCTAGAACTATTCATATCAATTTCTTCTAATTTTCCCTAACTAATTACACAAGCACTTTTCAAATTCAAACGGTTAAAGAAATGATCAAAGTAATAGAGTGTGTACTGTCATACTTTTGTAAATTCTTCATAGATTTGTTAAAGTAGTTTTCATGTAGTATTAAAATAGTACATTTACTTTATCAACTAATAGATAAAGCTAAGTAATATTATAATTATATATTGATACTAATATGATAATTATAGTATGCAAAAGATATAATAAATTATATACTCGTCTTTAGAAGTACTCAAAGTACATCTGTACTCAAAGGATAGTAGATAAAGAACGTAAAAGATTGCATCTACGTTAATTCGTTCATAGCCACAGACGGCGTCTGTTGAATTGTCCTTAACCTGAAAAATGGCGGCCAATATTAATGGAGTATTCACTGAAAATTTACGAAATGCAATACTTCAAAGTAAAGTACTTATTGTGGGTGCTGGCGGAATTGGATGTGAAATATTAAAAAATCTAGTTATGACAGGATTTGTCAATATCGAAATTGTAAGTATTCTTACGTTTGTCAAAATATGTAACTATTTTCTAACCTACATTTTCCCTCCTTTGCTGGTACTCATTGTCTCCCAAACTTCAAAACCGGCATTTATATTGTTACAATATATCGCAGTAATACTATGTACAATATTATGATTTTAGAAAAATACTTATTGAAATTAAACCATTATTGTTCTAACAGCAGTAAGATTATTTTTAAACGTATATTTTATTTTCAGATTGATTTAGACACGATTGATGTTAGCAATTTAAACAGACAGTTTTTATTTCAAAAGAAACATGTAGGAAAATCAAAAGCTGATGTCGCAAGAGAAACAGCATTGACATTTAATCCCGATGCAAAAATTGTTCATTATCATGACAGTATTACAACGTATTTTCATCTTCTTATATTTTTATATTTCTGAAGTAATATATTTTATAATTAATTATGTGTCTTTACATTTACAGTTCTGATTATGGAGTATCATTTTTTAAAAAGTTTACGTTAGTTATGAATGCACTTGATAATAGAGCAGCTAGGAATCATGTAAATAGAATGTGTTTAGCAGCAGATGTACCTTTAATTGAATCTGGTACAGCTGGTTACGAGGGTCAAGTAGAACTCATAAAAAAAGGGTTAAGTCAATGTTATGAGTGTACACCAAAAGCTGCACAAAAAACTTTCCCTGGTTGTACAATTCGTAATACACCTAGTGAGCCAATTCATTGCATAGTATGGGCAAAACATTTATTCAAGTAAGTGTTTTTTAAATAACATTTCTCTTTAAGAAGGCATATAAAAGCATTCTTAAATTTTATGTAGTCAGCTATTTGGTGAAGAGGATCCTGATCAGGATGTATCTCCAGATACTGCTGATCCAGAAGCAGCAGGTAATAATATTTGAGCTTACAAATCCTTGTAAAGTAATGTACATATATAGAAATTATATATTATAGACTCTGCAGGCCAAGGTGCTTTAAACTCAGAATCAAATGAAAAAGGAAATGTTGATAGAACATCAACTAGAGGTTGGGCACAATCATGTAATTATGATTCAGAGAAATTATTTACAAAATTATTCCATGATGATATAAAATATTTGCTAAGTATGGATAATTTATGGAAGAAAAGAAGACCACCTATTCCTTTAAGTTGGAAAGAATTACCAGATGGAGGTCTGTAAAATGATTGGAATCGTCTATTTCTATTTGATTGAAAACATATATTTCATCTTACAATATTACAATTATATTACAATTTTATCAAAATCTTTTACAATATAGTACCAGGATGCAGTAAAGAAGTAAATGAACCCGGCTTAAAAGATCAACAACGTTGGAGTATTTCCAAATGTGGTACAGTATTTGCTGAGTCAGTGAAAAGTTTAAGCAATAATTTGAAAGCTTTACAAGAAAAATCACCAAACAACCATTTAGTTTGGGATAAAGATGATCAAAGTTCAATGGATTTTGTTGCTGCATGTGCCAATATAAGAGCTTACATTTTTGGTATACCTCAAAAAACGAGGTTTGATATAAAATGTAAGAAAATAATTACTAATCATTGCAGATAAAAAAATTATATGTTTTTCTAATTTTATTAATATTTTGTAGCAATGGCAGGAAATATAATTCCTGCAATCGCAACTACAAATGCGATAGTTGCCGGTTTAGTTGTTCTTCATGCGTTCCGAATTCTTGAAAATAATTTAAAGGCATGTAAATCTGTATATTTGCGTTCGAAAATGAATCATCGTAATCAGTTATTGGTACCAGAAAAAAATGTCAATCCACCAAACCCAAAATGTTATGTATGTGCACCTACACCACAGGCAGTATTAGCAATTGATACATCAAAAACGACAATCAAAGAACTTGATGAAGTAGTATTAAAAAATAGGTTGAACATGATTGCTCCAGATGTTATGATAGATGGTACTGGTAACGTTGTTATCAGCAGTGAGGAAGGTGAAACTGAAGACAATAATAATAAATTCTTAGAAGAATTAGGAATTAAAGATGGTACCATTCTTAAGGTCGATGACTTCCACCAAAATTATTCATTAACTGTAACTATAGTCTATAGAGAACGGTCAAGTTTAAAAGGCGATAGTCCTGATTTCGTCATTTTAGCCAAAGAACAAGATCTTAAACCTAAAGAAGAAGATTTAGTGAAACCATCAACTTCAAATGGCCAGGTAAATAAAGTAATATATTGGTGCTTAAAAATTTAAGAATATATATAAATTAAGAATTTTATTCAGGTGGAAATATCTGATGACAATGTAATGATTGTTGAAACCGAAACATCATCAGATGTGGCAAAGAAACGTAAAATTGAAGCTTCTGAAGAAAATTTATCAAAGAAACGAAAATTGGAAATTAATGATGTGGATGATGATATTTCTATAATTGAAAATGATATAAATAATGACATGGATAAAGTAAAATCAAATTTCAAAACACAGAATACAGAAGAGAAAAATGATGATTGTTTAATTGTACATGATGATAACAAGTCAATAGTTGCAACATCCCAGTGAGTAAATTAAATACATTGAAATACTTCAATAACTTATAAATTCTATTTTTTGAAATTAATATGCTGATCACTTAAATTTATGTAAAAGGGTATGTTTGTACAAAAACTGTACATACTTACCAATTTCAATAGTTTATATAACTTATTTTGCGAATTACATTTTCATATAATAAGTAAATAAGTTTATAGTACATATAATGACAATGGAAACAAATGGCGTATGTATAATAGTAATCTTACCGAAATTATTTTTGAATGATATGTATTTTAATTTCTACAAATATTTATAAAAATACATAGTGTTTATAATACGTAATTTCATAGATTGTAGTTATGGAATACATTTTTATACAAAAAACAAATAAATACATTTTTCTTACTATAAAATATTATATTTTTCTATTTGATTAAGATGTTTAAAATTTTTTATTTGCACAATTCATGTAGTAATTAACATTGTAATTGTACATTTCAAGATCAATTTTATATTTTTCGTGTAATTTTAAAACTGTATCTTGTGTCAAATTTGCGAAATATTTGCATGTAGTGTCAAAATTCGTATGCCCACCCTGTGTTTCTCCTAATGTAGTAAAATATACTTTATTTTTATCCAGACCAAATTTAGAGAAAATATAATTAATTTGTCTATATGTATAATCATCCAATTTTAAAACATAATTATATCGTATATTGCACACAGCACAATGTGAATAATATTGAGTCCAATGAACATCATCTTTTTCAGAACTTTGTAAAAGCCACACCAAGAATTCTTCAAAAGTTGGTACTATTTTTAATCTTTATAAAAAAAAAAAATGTATTTAAAAACTACTAACGATTAAATAAAACATTTTTATTGCTCTTTAATTATTATACCTTTTATCAGATGTAAATACTTTTTGTTGAAAATTACCAGTTGTTATATTCGAATGGAACAATTCAGGTCTTGTAAGGCGAAATATTTTTTCTGTATAAATCCAAGCTTGTGCAGTATATTTTGAATTATCTGCTATTCGATCTCTAAAAATTAAGAAATGTAATTTTATTTAATAATTTAAATATATTCAAAATATTGAAAAACAGTACCTATATGATGATACGAGCCTTTGAAAAGGATGTCGTACAACAAGAAGTTTAAATATTTTTGTATTATTTGATAAAAGTTGCAATTCCTTTAATGATCGCACCGTTAAAGAATCAACTTCTCTATAAATAATTTAAAAGTTGAAGTAAGAAAAATTAATTAAATAAAAAATGAAAAGTAAAAGTACTTATAATAATTTCGCGTTGGTGGACGATTTTTCATATCAGCAAATAATTTTGTAAAACTTGTTGAAGCTATTTTGCGAATCCAACAATACATTGACTTATGTTCAGAGTTATATAAAAAATGCCTTTTTATTAAAGGAGTTCTTAAATTGTATTTCATACATACATTCGAAATTTGTTGCAATATAGTTGCACTTTCCTATTTAAAAAGAACAATATTAATATACTATATTCAAGCAATATAAAAATCTATTTGCTTACCTGTAAATTAATTGATTCTCCTTTCATTTCATCATGTTCTAAAAGTTCTATCTCTAAATTGATTGATTTTATATTTGATTGAGAAACAGAATATTCTTGTTTTGTTTGATTGTACTTTACTAAAAATAACGAAACTGGATATTGTATTAAATAGGAACTATGTTTTATTTTTAATAAAAAGAAGCAAACTGCAATATATAGAATAACACATAATATGCATTTTACAAATTGCATTTGAAGTGACATAATTAAAAGTGAAGAGAATATTCTGACAGACAACTGTTAAGATTAAAACATCCGTCCGGGAATTGTCTGTGGAAGTGGAATAAAAGATAAAATTTATCTTTTAGTTCCATTTCGCTATTATAATGAAGAAAAATTGAATATTACACATATTATTAATTGAAAAGGTAAAAAAGAAATGAAATCAACTTTTTTTTAAAATCTTTACTACGAAATAACGCCAAAAACATATATAAATCAATGATCTCGATACATATTCAGTGTTAGGCTGTTTCTGTAACTAATAATAGTTCTAATAATTATATGTAATATATGAGTGACGTATATTGTTAATTATAACCAAAATTTTTTTTTGCAACTATAATTATTTTTATAAATTTTAAGTTACGGTTGATATTACGATTTATAATCATTTCAATTATTTTGGATTGTTGCAAAAGTAAATCTTTATCGATGGCAGTAGTCTATATTAAGACGGTATAATTATTTTACGAAATTCAATTATAGAAATTAGCGAATCAGATGCAAAAACAATTATTTATCATAATTCAATTGATTCACAATAATTTTATAATTATTTGTAAAATAGTTCAAATACCAACATGTGTAAAAATTACAAAAATATATAAAAATAGTATCTAATTTGAATATAATAAAAAGATTAAATGAATAAGTGAATTGTGTTAATAAAAAAATACATTCAAATATAACACAAAGTCTAACGAATTGTGAATCAATTCTACAATTTGTTTATTATATATCATTGTATAAAACTAAAGATTAAGTTATTTTTACAATTTCAATAGAACATTTAATTGCTTTTCAACATTAATTTTGTTAAAAATTATTTATGTATATAATTAAAACTTTACTTTTTTTGAATTATTAATGCAAATAATTACATGATGATTAAACACTTGCTATTGCCATGATTATAAATGTCACAATACCTTGAAAACCCTTATTATATGTGCATGAATGAGGAAATAAAAGAATAAATGAACAAAAATAATATTCAAAATTTCTTATCTACGGTCCCTATATCTATGGTGATGATCACGGGAGGATCGATGATCACTGTGTCGGCTATGACGACTCGCTGTTCTCCACAAGAATTCATCTACACTCCTTTCGTAACTACGTTTTTCAAGAGCGGACGCTGCAGCACTGTAATCAGGTGGTAATGGTAATCCATCGTAATATCTAGGTGGTGGCGGCGGCGGAGGTAAAGAATCATATGGATGAGGTGCAGCATAAGGAGGTAAAGGAGGCAATTGATGTTGCATAGTACGCATATAATCTGCAACATATGCTTCAGCTGCAGCAGCTACACCTAATCCAGTACTACCGTACCCTCTGTAAAGTTCATAATTATTAAAAATAATATATTAGATTTACAACATATGTTAAAACACATACATACTTGGAGTAAGGAGAGTCACTTCGATTAAACCAAGTAGCATACCGGTGATGATGATGGTCTCTCGATCCTCTATGTTCATTACTAGCCAAATGAGATCCTCTAGCTAATGATGCTAAACGAGATCGTGAAGTTAAAAAGAGTCTACGTCCTCTACCTCCTCTTGAGCGTAAAAATCTAGGATTGTTATTAACAGGTCTATTATCCCGATATGAACGAGATTTCATAATATGTTTTGCTGCTTCTTTAGATTTTCTCAAAATTGGGGTCATTTCAATTCCTAAAATTTATTACAACTTACATTTATCTACTATAAACTATAATAATTGCATCCTTGCAAAAAAAGAAATTTTATATTTTAATATACCTTCATCTTCTGGAAATAATCTGCATAATTCTTCTGCAACTCTTGGTTCAATTTCTTGTCCATCACGTCCAATTTTAACTTGTTTACCATCATTCCATGGATTATATAAATGCAGTGTTGCTGTAAATGGTAATTCTTTTCTACAAATCCAATCAACTTTAAATACACCACCCAAAGCTTTTGCAGACAATCCAGGTGGTAATACCTAAAATTTATATAAACTTCCTTCCTAATAATATGTGAGGCAATTTCTAAAAATATATTTCTTGAATTAAATATACAAACCCAAGAAATTGGTGCACCATCTCTTCTAGATTCTGTACTTAATCTTGCAAATCCAGCAAATTTTCCAGATTCTTTTACAGAAAACACAAGCAAGACATTCCTTGATTCTCTATAAGCTTGATTTAAATTGGCTTCATTTTGTGGTAATGTACTCCATACCCCTTTAGCCTTTGATAGTGTGACATTTTCAGCATTGTTTGATTTGATAATGAAAAATCTGATAAAAAAAACTTTGAGACATGTTCTTTGCTTTTATATTATTTTACTTATCTAAACATTTATAAACAATTTCAATGAATACTAGTTGAAAAAAAAAGTATATATAGAAGCAGAAATATTTGTATCTTAAAAAAATAGCCAACCTTGCATCTCTAAACAAATAATTTAATTTTGTCGCATAATCATAACTCTTAGTAACTCCTTTGCTCTCCTTAGATCTTGCACGTTTTGTTTCAGGGCTAGAAGATTTAGACTCTCTGGATCTAGCACGTTTCCCTCTGTTTTTCCGATTACGTTTATTATCTCCACGTGAAGATTTTGTTGAAACAGAGCTTATGCTTGGTTGACTAGAATCAGAATTTGAACTGCTAGATGAAACTTCACTACGTGTGTCATAAGTTTCATCTGCAGCAATTTTTAATTCATCCACTATATCATTTTCCCCGCAGCTCAGATTTAAGTTGTCCCCGTCTGTATTATTGTCCATTTTTTCACTTTTTATTTGATCACTTTCACTATTGGTCAAAAATACGTTGTCACTTGTCCCGTCATCCAGGCTTTGTATTTCTGGATTTTTCGGGTTTTCTTGTGTGAAGAGAGAGCCAATGCAGTTCTGGTGCCTTTAAATCTTTTCTGAAACGCAAATATAAAAAAAGGCTTACTAGATGGAGATCCAGTATGCAATAATACTTGTCCAAGAACAATATCATATTTGAATGGATCTTGTAGGTTTTATAATAATTATGTGGTAGGAAATAATGTAGTAACATTTTTAGTATATGAGAAGAAAAGTTCAGAAGATTGCACATGAAATCCGATTTAAAGTCACTGTAGTAAAAAGTCCATTTGTCAAAATGTTTAATATTAAAATTGTCCTTATGCAGTTTAATTAAAACATTTATAAGTCTCATAGAAGTTTTTAATGTATATCTACTATTGCTGCAAGACCTCAAGGATTTCTTGCTTCAAGTAGATATAAATTATGCCTAATACTGCTAAGTTTTTATTTTGCTAAAAACAATGTTCGGCAAAGGAAAAGTTCCTTTTTTTTAATAATTCACGAACATGTAAGTCCATGTATAAATTAAAAATAAATGTGCTCTTAAATGTTGCAGAGATTTTCTTTCTTTAATTTAACAGAGTGTAGTAACACAATTCTTGTTGCTCTATAAAACACAAGTATTTCTTTCAAACTTTGTATATGAAAGTTTATTATAAAGTTTATTATAAGTAGATAGTCTTGCTAGAATGTGCTTTTTAGCCTATTTAATGTGGGAAGGCGAGGAGTCTTCGAGTTTTTCTGTATTTCAGATAATAACACATCATACTCATTTGGTCTCTATAGCCTTTGAAACGCGAAGGCTATGCTTAGGAAAGTTCGTTGTAAATCTTATTCTTAATAGCAATGTCAGCACCACAGAACATACTCAAAACCATCATTTTCATCATGGATTTTATTAAGAAAGTTCATGTTTTATAAACATAAGTCCTTGATGTTATAAACCTTTTACGCAGCTCGTACACACTTACGTGCACACTCGTTCTTCACTTAACACACTTCGCACCTCACGCAAGAATGCTCAATAATTATCATGTGTTTAACAATTATTCCTATTATTTCTTTACACGAAATACACAGAAAATCTCCATAAGGGATTGTGTTCCCTTTTTCATGAAAACATAGTAACTGATTATCTCCTCACGCATAAACCATGGCGTCCATTATATGACGTGTTCATTACGATCGATAGAAGGAAATTGTAGTTGAAAATTCAAACCGAAACAAATTTTAATATTTCTAATATTTCTATTTTTTAAATTTTCTGCGAATTTGTATGTTTTCCATTAAAAGTTATCTTTCTTGGATATAAAAAATAGAATTTCGAGTGACGATAATGTAAATTTCTTAAATAGGCTAAATACATTATAAATTTCCATCTTGCTGATCTATTGAAGATCATTCATTTAAATTTATTACTTAGCGTTATGACGGTGTATTTGAATATTAAATGTAAAAAACATGTAGAATGAGAATAAAATATATATTCTTTTTGGTGTATATGTAAAATTTCTCAGAATTAAAATCCCTAGTATCACCCATGGTCGCCATCTCTAAAAAGAAATGACGACCATCTTGGATCATTTTTCACGGGTTGTTGACACGGGAAGATTACAGCCGGCCGTGAAAGTGTTTCGCGATGTAAAATTATTCATAATTAATTCCCGGAAATAAGTAGTGGTCATTTAAAAACTAGAATTAAAAGTAAGACACCGGTTTATGTATTTAAAATTATTGTGCAAGTATTATTATATATGAAAATATAAAAAAATTTGTGAGAATAAGCGTCTGTCATGAATATAAGCAATCTTGACAAAGTCGACAGTTAAGTCTTATCGTATTTACCCAGAATTTGATAAAACAGTATTTTTGCGGTTGTGTTTGTACATGTGAGAGAAAAGTTGTGTTGCTAAAAAAGAGAAGATAAAAAACACTGAAAATACATGTCACGAAGGAAAATGGTCTCGTGCACATGGTGACACCTCTGGTTAGTTTTTACTTTCTATAAACAATTTGTCATACTTTATTATAAAAGTAATTTGGCTCGATCGCGTGTATATTACTCTGTCGTGAATTGCAAGTTAGTTAAAAAATTATATATGAAGAAAAGAATTTTTCAATGATTATTACTATTACTATTGTAAGTTTTTTGTAAGACTCAAATTTATTGGTCTGATAGCTGCTTATAATGGCGAAATATAACGTACGTTTACTTGAACTTTTGTAAATATTATTTGATTACTCATGCTGAATTATTCGCATTATAACATTTTAATTTTTATACATACAGAATTATTGTCAGAACTTCTAAATAATATTTAAAGTTTATCAATGCTTATTTTCAAGCTTAAAACTAACATGTAATAATCATTGTTGAAAAATTTATAATATGAAATAAATATTTTAATTTATGTATAACAAATTATAATAAATTATTTTTAATTTATATGTTAAAAATTAATTTATGTATATACAATGTGATCAACCAAAAACTTGTATAATAAAAAACTAGCATGTAAATTTTTTAAATTTATTTATTGAATTAAAAATTGTAGATTTGCTTTTAATGCCATAATTCATTGAAAGCAACACTTAATATTAATGCTAATAAATATTATCAATATATCATCCTATAATCAATATAATTTTTAATAGCATCAGCAAACACTCTTAATTATAAAGTGTCATATCATTTTTCTTCATGTTTAGTATATTTGAAATAATTATTTAGATATGATAAATCCATATGATGATGTAAGTGATAATAAATAAAGTTTATCATATAATTTTCTATTAAATTCTTTTGATTAATAGTTAATAACATTATGTATTTTTTGATTACTTTGTTAGAATTAGATAATAATTTCCTTTCATTAAATTTACTTTATGCATTAATCAAACAAATATTGGAAAAATAGCAGGATAATTTTGAGTAACACACAAAATATCATGAAAAAAAGATTATGTAAATGAAAAAAAATTTGCTACAGTAGCCTTATTATTTATTTCAAGCTACATTTAACTTTAACCTATTATTACCAAGATGTACACATAATATATGCACTGTACATAATATAAGAATATAACATGTGCATGCTTCCACTTTTCATACTTCAACTACAGAGAAAGGATTCAAGTATTGATTGCAGGAGCATGGTGTGCTATGGCAATAGGAGGAGGGTGAAGCCCAGACAAGACCCCACCTCTTTATGTTATGCTTTCCATTTAAGTTTAACTTAGATCATTTCAGACAATCACAGTAAATATCTCTAATATTCAGTATAATAAAATGCTTCATTAATATTATAAAAAAATATGCTTTTTAGCTCAAACATATACTTTGAGGTTAAAAGCATATTGAGACAAATTAGTGATCTATATAAACATTCATTGACTGTAAATGATTAAAATTCAGTTGTAAATATAAAATAATTTTATTTATAGATATAATATGTTTATATTCTAATGTATATGTTTATATCTTTATGTTATAATATAACATTTGGGTTAATTTATATACAATCAATTATTTTCATATTACATCTATTAGTATGTTTTTTCAGATGATTAAAAACATGATAAATATAAAAAATATATGAATGACAATGGGCTGAAATACATCATATTTTAAAATTCATCATTTTTATACGCAACAGGTGCAGGTAATGATGACATAATATGTTTTATTTTTTATATTATTTTTTTAGGAACTTGTATTTAAATTATTGAAGCAATTTATAATTGCTGTACATGTTACACAATATTTTTTCTTATTTTTTTGTTAGGGGAAATAAGTCATGGCAACGGTGGAAGAAAAAAAACGAGTTGGTGGCTCAAAAGTTTCAGCCATTGCAAATATCTTCCAATCAAAACCACAATTGGATAATCTAAGCCATAGGACAAATAACATTCTGTCAGATGGTTTCAAGGAACCAGCTGTGCCTTTAAAAGAATCTCCAACACAAGTTACAGTTGTTAGAACTGAGAGTCATGTAGCTCGTTTTAATAATGCACGTGCACTTTTTGAAAAACTTGGAGAGGAAAATAAACCAAATAAACCGTAAGTATAGAAAATAAATGTAGATAAAATATATAATATGTTATTAAATAATTTTCAAAATACATTTTCTATGTAGGGTGGACAGGATTACAAAACCTAGTAATTTACATGGTTTGAGATCACGTTCTAGCTCTGCAAATTCCGGATCAGGTTGTACATCTCCAGCTCGATCACCACGTCCTAGATCACCATCACCTCCAGGAACTAGAGATCATTTGAGCAATTGGAGTGCAAGTGTACCAGCGTTAAATGCTGAAAGGCATTTTGAAAATGGTCATAATCACGGTTTGGATAATGTACCAGATAAACATAAATCACGGGTAGGATTTGGGAAATTTGACAAAAATTACGGTAAAGAAAATCGTTTAGATGATCGGCCAGAGAAACCAGAAAAACCTGAAAGAAGATTAAATTCAAAAGAATTAATTGAAAAACAGAAAAATTGGACTAGTCATTTTTCAAAAACAAGACCAAGTAGATATAATTCAGATCCAAATAGATCTTTGGTTCAAAGTTCTTTAAATCAGAGCGCAAGTAAAGTGAATGTTGAAGCTGCTTCTGTAGGACATATGCAAAATGCTACAAATACTGATAATGAAACAAAAAGATCAACAGATATTTCTGCTAATCCAGCTACAAGATCTGCAAGTTTTTGTTCTGCTAGGTCATCAGCCATATCTCCTCCTCCACCATTACCACCAACAAGAAATTCTTCTACTTCAAATGCAAAGAAAGAGAGACCAGCTAGTATTGCGGCAGTATCTCCACCAGATATTCCTAGTAGTCCAGAATATGCTACTATAAATAAATATTTTGATACTTCACCAACTATACCTGAATATGCAGTTGTACAAAAAAACACAAATGTGCAAAATAAACATTTCCAAAGAAACCAAGAACAACGAGAAATTTCAAAAAATGTAATCACTCCTTCAGTAGAAAAGTCACAAGATGCGTTCATCCCAGAATATGCTGTAGTACAGAAAAATACTGCAGCTAAAATGCATTCACGTAATGCAGATATATCGAAAAATACTTCAATGCATCATTCAAAAAATACTAACAGTTCCGAAAGTTGTGGTTTGCCTCTTAAAAATACTCTTGCAAGTTCAAGTATTGATATCTATTCACAAACAAAATCACATATTTCCTCCTATGAAAGAAATTCTGATATGTCTAGTCCAACACGAAGTATGTCAATAGAAAATATTAGTGTATCAGTGGAAAGTAAAATTAGAAGAGATAATGACTTACTTGATGCTCCTGAATATTTAAATTATCCTTCAAATGTTATACGTTCGCCACCTAAAACTTCTGAATGGAGAAATGAATGGTTAGCTAAAAACGATGAAATTTTAAAAAAAGCAGATTTAAAATCTACCAAGGAAGACACAGAAACTAAAAATGAAGTTATAAGACCTGATCCACGGCCAGACTGGGCCAGACCATGTATAAATACTGTGAGAAAAAAAGATAGTTTAATAGAAGAAAAGAAAATTGAGTCATCAAAATCTCCAGATCCGGAATTGAGACCACCTTCTGGAGGTACGGATAGTGCATCTTCTAGTATGAGCTCCCCTAGCTCCCCTTCCAAGGATAGTAAAGAAGAAAAGGCAGATAAGGAAATGTCAGAAAAATTTCAAGCGGGTATAGTATATGTGAATACTTTCCAATAACATGATTCATATTCATATAACAATATATAATAGTAAATACATTTAATACGTACGTACAAACAGACAAATTTAATTTAAATTTATCTCTTAATAAGTGAACTTTATATATTTTATTAGTTACAATTATCTCTGAATCTGAATAAATCTGAATTTTGCCGTTTTATTGTGGCTATGTGCCAAATACTAAAAAGTTACCAGTATAGGAGGAAACTCTTTTCCTTTCCCTTTCCCTTCTCTTCTTCATCTTAGTTCCTCCTACTGGTTCAACAGTATTATTTATAGAAATCTGTATTCTGTTCTGCTTCTGTCTGGCTTTACTTCATACCATTTATTTCAGAGAAGTACTTTACAAATTTTAATAATTTATTTACCAGTGTTTAATTGAAAATTTGCTTTATTCTTGTGATACCTGTTTTATGTAAAGTGACTTTGTATAAGATGTACATAAATGATACATAAA